TTGTCCTATAAAAGAGGAGTGAGCATGGAGGGAGTAATGGTTTTAAAGTGGCAACATTACTGTCAGCTTAACAAACATCAGCAAACACACAAACTCTTTGTATCCAGTTTGTACAGCAAAATAAAAACATAAAGTAAACAAAAAATCACAACTATAAAACTAGTCAAGGTAACAGCAGATTAAAACCCAGTTATAATGAAGGCTATGCAGTTCTGAACAGATGGGTTTCGAGACTGATGATTTGAAAACAGAAATGTGTGCGAGATACTCATTGCGAGATGGAAATGGAGATGGAGAGGAGAGGAAGAAGCGAGGTTAGACTTAAAGATAAGGACTCCTCACAGTGGTGTCTGACAAACCAGAAATCTAAATCTTACATGTCTTCATTTTTTAAAATCAGATATTTTATCTATATATAACGTGAAGTTATCTTTTATGTGAAGTTTTGCTTTACTTTTTAATGTTAAATGATTGAATCCACAGATGTGACTTAACAGATTTTACTTTGAGTAATACCTAGGCTATGCACATGCAGAAGTAACATTATGACCAAATATAGCTATCCTCAAAAGAGATGATATAACATTAATTAAGTATATTAATTTTCCAATTTACTTTTATGTTCCTAACCCTACTTTTAACCCTTTATGGGGGAAATAGCTTAAGGGGCTTTGTGTTGTTTTGCTTATTGACAAAAGCATGAAGTGAATGCTCAAAATCACAGAACAAATGATTATTTCAATTAATAAGCAACAATAAACTATTAGATTTAGTTAACTTGCATAGTAAAGGAAATTTACCCAATATCATTTCCATCGGTGAGACATAGAATGCGGAGTCTGCAATCTGGGAATTTTATCTTTACTTTGTTCAGCTCATTCATTCCATGTTGCAGTGCATCATACAGCAATGTACGTCCAGATGCCTTAAGAGTGCGCACATGCTCCTAGAAAAGCGTGTAGATATATTTCATTTTTTCATGTCGTGTAGAAATTAAGAATATGCATTAACCTAAAGATTTACATTACAGGACTAAACATTACAGATTTAACACACAAAATGTTTATTTACCTTAAACTTTTCCAGTGTTTCTGTAAATGTGTGAACAGTTTTCACTCTAGAGTCAAATGTAACGAGGCCTATGACATGATGAAAATCATAAGCCATAGTCCTTGATGCAAAATTATCAAAAAGCTCCTTGACAGCATGGATTTTTTCTATTTCCACACTTCCGTAGCATTTCTGGGACATCGATGAACTTGTATCAATCAGTACCTAATGAAATAAAAGTGTAGCAACAATTTGTCTTTCCTTATTTAATCACTCATATTTTACAAACATACAAATCACATATTTTAAAGCGAGCAATATGTAATATAATGTGTCACAAATTGTTCTGTCTCCAGTTTTATTCCTTTTCCCAGTTTGTTTCTTTCTTTTATATTTTAAGACCTGCCTTCCTTTTCTGACTTTTATTTAAACCCTGTCCTGCCACATGCAGTCTTTTTGACTCTTTGTGTAAAATAGATCACTGCTCTGTTTGGCCAGAGGGGCCGATGGTGCGATATGGCAGCCTCGCTTCTGTCAGTCTGCCCCAGGGCAGCTGTGGCTACAACTGTAGCTGCCTCCACCAGTGTGAGAGTGAATGAATAGTGGAATTGTAAAGCGCTTTGAGTTCCTTGAAAAGCGCTATATAAATGCAATCCATTATTATTATTATTATTATTATTATTATTATAGCATTAGCTCTGTCTGATTACCTATTTTACTCAGTTTGCAACCAGTCTGTGACATTACTGCACCCACATGTATTGTCTGCTTTAGAAGATAATGTTTTGAATCTCCAAAACAAGAAGCTTAAGAATTTTAGGTCTCAGTAAACGTTCTGTAAACCATTTCTTACGTTACTATTTTCTTTTTGCATTTATTACCTGTACCCTTACTGTAAATTAGTTCCAAACTGACCCCTAAAAGCCTCTTAGTTTTTTTTTTTTAAAATCATGCCATTTACACAAAGTGCAAAGTGAAATGCTTTTTTATATTCAAAGAATACTTACACAAAAGAGATTAAGCTATTTATTTAGTGCGAACCCCCATGTTATTTTAAGCATTTACAAAGTCTCATCCTGACCAACGATAAAAGAACAAGCAGGAATCAGTTAACAGAGTTCTCTATACAATTGATGCCTACAAGCTTCTATACTAATATTTATCAAAATGGCCAGGTGTAGGAAAAGAAAAAGAAAAAATGAGAACAGTAACCTAATTAAGAATGTCTATTTTCAAATAAAGGAAGTAGTAAAGAATTGAAGTTACCAGTACAGCTTCCTTTGGAGATCTTGTTGTGTCAAAAGAGAGGTCATCCCTATGGTCACCAGTTCTACAGGAATGTTAGGAAATTTCAAATTTTTAGAGTACTGTGCAAAAGTCCTGAGCCACCTGTCATTTCTTCATATTTAGCTACCTATGAGCAAAAAGTTCTTTCAATTTCTAGAAGAAGTCTTTAGCAGTGGCTTTCTAGTTTTCTTTGGAAGGTCTTTTAGTTTTTCTTTGCGCACTGGCTGCATTTTCTCTCATTTTTAATCTAGTCCTTGTATGTGACCATTTATAAACTGTGTTGTGTCAGTGTAGGAGAATCTTCAAGGAGATACTTTTTACATTCTTTGAGTACATTTCAGAGCCTGTACTTTTTCACTTTAACTTGAATAAAGAAGTTGCTTCAGTACTTCAACTTTTACTGGAGTATTTTTTAGCACAGCTATCTGTACTTCTACTGAAGTAAACAAAGTCTGTACTTTTGCCAGTGCTACACATCACAGACAACTTATCAAAGAGCCAATTAAAAATTTATCTTTAAGGATAATAAGAGCTTTAAGATAATATGATTACAATAGCTCTGACAGTAACTCAAAATAATATTTTTCATTAAACTATATAGATTTGTACAATGTTAAGAAAATAAATGACACAATACTCACGAAGCTGCCAGTACATTCACATCAACATGCTGGGTTTTGCATTTCAGACAGTCAAAGACATCAATTTTTTCTGGAGTTAACTTATTTTTATTAAGATAAACACCAAGATTGTCTGACAAAAGATAAAAAACAAAAACAAAAAGTTGTTGTTTAATACAGAAGGAAAGAAATGTATCTGCAATTGGGTAATTTTATTCCAATTTTCAATTTCTGTATTTATGTGATTGAATTCTCTAGGTTTTTTATTTTGTTTCTTGAGGGTTTTGTTAATAAAATACCCCCAAACACAAGTTTCTCTTCATGGATTTTTGCCTTCCATGGCTTCTTACCCTCTCTAAGGAAAACAAGACATGGGTCTTGAGTTCCTAGATCCTTCAAACGCAGCGGTGGAGTAACTTTGAGTTGAGGGAATGCTTCCATTTCCTTTACCATGTCTCCAAAGGTTTTCCCAGTGTTTATCTCAAAACTGGAATTTAATTACAAAAATTAATCAGCAGTTACTGGGTAACAAACATGGGTAATCAGAGGAAAACAACCATGGTGTTTTTTTTGTTTTTTTTAAAAATGTAACTGTTGGGTTTAATGGTTCTTGATTCGTGTAACCACAAAATACCACATGGAATATACAGTATGTAGAAATTTGACAGCTTTTTTTTTTAAGTGTCTTAATTTGGGCTAATTTTGGTACATTTTAAAAATATGAAATTAAATAATACATACTTCTGACCAGTCACACTGCCATGAGAAATCCAAAGATGATAGGTCATAAGTGAAGGATGAACACTGAGCAGAATTTTCTCAATGTCAGTGGCTCTCTTGAGTGATGTTTCTTGTAAAACTTCTGCAGTGCAGTTGGGTATCTTCTCTCCATCTTGGAAACAGATCCATAAAGTAAAATCATTCTCTGATAAGTTACATTGGCACAAGAAAATGTGCTGAACTCTCCGAAGACTTTTACATTGATTAAGATTCACAAATATCTGCAAAATCTCCAACTTTGACACATATTCTGAACATAGAAATAAAAAAGGAAATCAGGAAAATGTGGTCATATAGCCTACTAGATGTTGCTGATGACACACGCTCAATCTAACTAACATT